CACACTAGATTTTAAGGTTAAGGACAAAAATTTGTCATCCGGTGTAACATCTGTCGAATATATATTTTGTATTTATCATCCGGCGTGAAAAAACAAAGCTCAAAAATATTTATTAAAGAGATAAGGAGCTACGGTCTATCTTGAAAGGTTGGAGCAAATTTTATCACCTCAATAATTTTATCATCTCAATCAATTATTAATATTGAACATGTAACTTTAATTACATCTTGGGTTGATAAGTATGAATTAACGTATGGTGTTACTTTTAATCCATGAGTTCAATCGTGGAAGCAGGGTGCATTTGAACCTAAAGTATTTTGGAATTTACATGATCATAAAACAAATATTGTTGTTGTAAAAGTTAAAGAACACAGATGAAATCCTTGGTAGTTACAATCCTGTTGTTTGGAATCCTAATTTTAATTCGTGACTAATGAAGTATTATTTTCTTTTTTAAAAAAAAATAGAAATATAAAATTTGATTCTTAGTCGTGTAACAGTTTTAAGTGAAGCCAATTTTAATAATCCCGAAATTTTTACCCTAATTTGAATATGAATGAAAATCGATCATTTGTTTTTTTATAAAACCGAATGCTATGAAAAACCGATTAGAGAAGCAACTGATTAATTTCTATAGATGATTATGAAGCTTTTCAAATTAAAAGAAATAAATATTTTCTATTTTGTAATATTTATTATTTTAATTATTATTTTAATCATTACTTTTATTAATCACGTTTAATTATAGATAGAAAAAGGAAAATAAGTCGGGCGAAAAGGACGATAATGAATGATAAAAACAAATATTAGATATCGTTGTTATTTCATCTTTTATTTCTTTTCTCTCTCTCCTTTTTACGACTCTTTTATACATGCACACTCTGCCCACACTTTTACACATTTTGCAAATTTTATAAATTATTAATGATAATTATGATGAGGATCTTATTGTTGGATTTATTTTAATTTTTCATCTATCAATCATTTGTCATTATAAATTTTTCAGAAATTTCTTCAAAAAATTTAATCATGCAAGTAAATTGTGATAATGTAATCGTGCGATAAGTAGTGGTGTTGGTTAATGAGTGAAACCGAATTAGTGATTAGAGTTCAAAGTAAGGGAGAGCAAATGGTTATCAGAACCCACTCAAATGATTTAGCTTCAGCGTATTTCTCGTGTGCATGTTATATTATGAATTACATAATAACAACACCGTAATCTGTTAAAGCACGGAGAAAGATAATTTATAATGCTGTATAAATGTCAAAAAAATAAATAAAAACAAATAAGAACAAATAATTTTATGAATAAATATAAACAACTCACTTATTTTTTAAATTTAATTAAATTTAAAAATGAATAATTCTTATAATAAAATTGATTTTCTTTAAATATTAGATAATCAAATTATTACAAAAATAATCAAAATCGTCATAAAGGTATCATAAAAGCAAAAATATTCGAGTGTTCACTTACAAATAATAATCAAAATCCAAAGTATCATCAAAGTATCTTTTTCCTCATTTTTTTTTATCAAGTTATCAAGTATCATTAACAAATTCCTAAAAGTGATTTTAGCAAAAATATAACAACCCCAACTAAACTCAGCAAAAAGAATTTTCTTCATTATACTCTTACTCCTTCGACACTTCTTAATTTGCTCAATTCACCCACCCCTCCCCTCCCCTACTAATGATAATATTGATATATTTAATGTGAAAGAAATGAAATTAATCTATTTTTCTAGAGCTTCAAGAATTGGTGATTTAAATATTGTGAAATATTAATCGTCGTAATTAACTACGATCATCAACTAACAAACATAACAATTAAAATAACCACACCCTCGACCATAATAATAACAATAATATTAGTAATAACAAACAATATTTTAACCGTCACAACATTTGTAACATCACTCATACTTCGTAATAAAGAAAAAATAAATTCACAAATTATCTATAAATTATTTATAATTTATCAAGTGAGAAATAAATAAAAGCATCATAATTAAAGTTGTGGATGAATGCATAAACATGTAAATACTTTTCACAAAAGAACTTTTTAAAATTTACTAAAATTATAAGTTATTTACTCACATACACTTAAATAGAAAAAAAAAATAAAATAAAGATAAACGTATAAAAATTAATACAAGTCTAATCTAATTAAATACTAAAATTAATACTAAAAATAAATATTTAAGATTTTTCAACAATTTTAAATACTTCATAATTAATAATAGAAAAACGATCTGGTAATGTTCTTATAGGTTTTTCATAAATATTACCTTTAATATCACAATAATTTCTATTATCTAAAGTAAAATTAGATTTTTCACTAAATAAGTAAAAATTTCCAAAACGTGGCCCATAATTATTTTGACGATGTTTGGATGCCTTACAAATTGCATATTGGGTATTATCGACTCTACTAAGAATAGAATTTTTAATATTCCCATTTTTTAATGAGAAAATAAAACTATCTTTTGTTTCCATCCATTGACCATCACCCCATAAATTAAAAGTAATATCCCACGTTGAAGGATTATAACCTCCAAGTATTTCATTCGTTCCCTTGACTTTCATTATCACAACTGTTTTAGCATGACCATAACAAATATTCCAAAATGTTTGTGGAGCAAATCCATTTTTGGTTCCACTTAAAATTAATTCAAATTTATATGGATAATTTTTTGTTGAATAAATAGTCGTTTTACGATCAATCCAACTAGAAATTTCTGCCGCATGTTCTTCAGAAATTATTGTTGAAAAACTTGCTGTTGTTTTCAATACCTCGGTACGAGAAGGTAATTCCGTGACCAAGGCGGATCTTGCCGGCAAAATAATTGATTTAACTGGTCGGTTAGGAAATGCTTGATTCTGAATAATATCATTCCAAAGTTGTTTATCTATAATTTTTTTATAAGGCATAATTTTCTCAATAAATTCTGCATTCGAAATATGAAAATATCGTATAAGAGGTAGAACTTGTTGTAAAGTGGTTTTTAAAGTAAGAAAATTTTTCTCGGACCATTCTTCAAGGTTCGTAGGGAGAGTAGGATCTCGAGCGACTCCCCACTTGATAATATGATTCCAAATTTTAATCTCATCCATTTGCAAATCATCTCGCATGAGAAGTGATACTAATGCGGATACAGGAAGAGATACAAAATCTGAATTTTCAAAAATAAGACTTGGATGCTTCGCAATAATATCATTACAATAATTTTCTAATTTTTTAAATTTGTTTTCGTTAAAAATTGTACGATAAATAAGAGAAAAATAAGTTTTTAACCAAGAAGCTTTAGTATCAATGAGATGAGTTTCTAATTTGTTAGTTAATTCATCAAGTTCAAATTCATTAGCAGTTAACATTAAATCAAAAATGAATCGGGTTTTCACGTTCTCTAAATTAACGATTCCTCCATAAATATATCTAATAAAAATAATAATAAATAAAAAAAAAAATATTTATAAAAATAATAAAACCATGTTATAGTATTTTTATTATTGATAGAAACTTACTTGAGAATAACATCAAAAATTTGAGCAGATACACTTGACTTAGCAATGGTCTTAATATTATTTTCATTTGGCTGAATATTTTCTAATTCTTTACGAAAATATGGTGATCGATATTTTAATATGTTTGAATGTGCCGTAAATAATTTTTCCTTATTTTCAATTTCAATGATTACATTGTATTCATCTTTATCGTTTAATAATTCAATAAAATTTTGTGATAACTTATCAAAAAATTTGAAAGACATTTTTGAGTTGGAAAAAGAAGAAATGGCGTTAACAATAGACCAAATATTTAATGTTAGTGTACGACAAATATACTTTCATTAAAACCAAAAAAGGACTTGAATAAATTATTGATGTTCAACCATTTAAAGTTTATTTGTGTCACCGATGTCCTCATCTGTACGAATAATTTAAAAAAATATTATTAATAGAATAAATATAAATAGAAAATATTTTTTTTTGATCTTTTGATGCAAATCAATTTCAACTTTAAGAATTCAACTTTTTTATTGAAAACCATCCTTCTTAAGATTAACCGTTCGAGTTTTCAAACAGATTATAGAGCACTTTGAAATTTTTGTGGTGATATAATTGTCAAATTAAGGATTACATAATCCAAATCCAATTGAGAATTGCGTAATTCGAATCTTTAAACAAATGTTTACCCGAATTTTATCATGGAGTTTATGCATTTTTCTTTTTGTACACTGATTAACCTTGGATTTAGATATATTGTGCACGATGTTAAAATCTACATTAGTCAAATCCTTTTATTAATATTCTTTTTTTTATGAGACGATCTGATGCTTACTAATAACAATGTCTACAATGTTTTTTTTATAAGGTAAAAAAGAGAGATAAGTGACATTGTTTCAACCAAAAAATATACTTTATTGCTATTTTTTTTACGATATTGTTTTTAAATGTTACTTTTTTTGACGTTTTTTATAATAAATTAAGGAAAATCTCTCGGAAAAAAGGAAATGATCTTCGTGTCTTTGGTGAAATTAAGGCCTGTAAGTTATTTCTTTTGACAATCTCCGTTTCGTTTTTTTTTTTTATAATTGAGTAAATATAATTATAATTTAATGTAATTGGATAAATAATATAATTAATTGCAATTGGATAAATTATATAATTATATAATTTATCAAATAGTGACGAAAAACGAAATTTGATCGTCAAAGGAACAAATCGATCGTACATCTCATAACTCTTAGGCTTGATGCAGCGACTTGGCACTATGATTATAAACTTTTTTTGCCAAAAAAGAAGGGCTTAATGAAAGATGATCGTCAAAGGAAAAAAATTGATCATCAAGCCGAGATGTATGATCATCATTTCGTTTTTTTGTCACAAAAATTTAGTATTATTGATCCAACGAGTGAAATGATTTTGTGCGTTATTAACATAAAATCAAATAATTTTAATTTATTTATTAAAAAATCTCTCAAGATCACATGATTAGTATGTTTGGAACGTTTTTATTGGATATAATTAGTGAAGCGGCAGGTCAGTAAAAAAAATACTTTGCCTTTTTTAGCATAGCACAAATGAATATAATCAGAAAAGGTAATGATTATCATCATTCAATGATAAAAATTCGGAATAAAAAAATCATTCAATCATTTCACATGTCCCAAGAAATAGAAAAAATAAAGTATTGTCCAGAAGGTCATTCTTCTAATGATTTTTTTAGTTCCGATTACCAAAATATCATTCGACATGAAACATGTTCTTTGTGTACACGAGAACATTTTATCAAAGAGTTTAAAACTTGGTCTTGTGGGAATACTAACTTTGATGAAATTATACAAGAATCTCAAATAAATAGTATTAATGAAAAGTTACATTGGATACCTTATGAAAATTTTCGAAATATTAAACACGTAATAGATGGTGGACATGGATCTGTGTACTCCGCTAAAATAGATGATATAATAAAATTAAGTTGGAATTTTATCGAACAGTGTTGGGAATATGATTTATTAGGAAAAGTTTCTTTGAAAGAAATAAAAGATTCTAATTATGATATATTAGAATTTCTGAAAGCGGTATGTTTCTTTACGTTTATAAAATATAAGTTATTATTTAATTTTTAGTTTATTAATTTTTTTTTTTTTTTTTTTAATATTTTCATACTAAGATAAAATCATTTAATATTTATGACACTTATGACGAAATTAAAATTACTTCATATTATGGAATTTCAAGAAATCCTTCTACACAAAACTATGTTATTGTTATGGAGTTATTTGATATTGATTTACATAATTTTTTAACCATGAATTTTTGGGATTTAGGATGGGAAACAAAAATAGACATATTATGTTCAATAGTATGTGGTCTTGAAAGCATACATGCAAAAAACTTGGTTCATTGTGACCTTCATAGTGGAAATCTTTTGGTAAACTATAATTACTATTCCGACATGGGAATGAATTTAGGTTTATGTAGATTAGAAAATGATTTGATTTTAAACTCTGATGACGAGAATGATATTATTTATGGTTCAATTCCATATATTCCACCCGAGATATTAAGAGGAAATAAAGGTAATGGATTTACGAGAGAGGGCAATGTTTATAATTTTGGTGGAATAATGTATGAAATAGTTACAGCACAACAGCCATTTGCTGACCAAGCACATGATACTTACTTGATGATAGATATATGTAATGGTGTAAGACCAAAGGTCCCTGTTTTAATGTTAAATTGGATTCCAGAATGGTATTTAGACTTGATGTATCGTTGTTGGAGTGATGATCCTTCTGAACGTCCAACTTCCTTTGAATTATGGAATTTATTTTATGCAATACGTCAAAGACGTTTGGATAATATAGTGGATAATAACGTTATGCAACAGCTTAAAATTGCTGATGAAAATCAAAAAAATACATCAAAATCTCAAAAGCAAGAATTATTTTCATATTCTAGTAAGATACATTCTCAATCATGTTATATTAGTCGATATATTGAAACTCTTCATGGATTGAATGGTTTATTGGAAGGAATAAAATCTGGGGAATCTTCAGGTATATTTTTCAATAATTTTTATTTAATAAATGACAATTATAAAATTTTGAAATTTTTTTTTTTTTTTGAATATTAAAATTTACAGATCCTAATTTATTAAAGCCCAATAAATCAACTATTTTACGCTAAAGAATTATTAAACCTATTGATGAAATTCAAGGTCAAACGGAAAATGATCGTTCTCTAATATTTCAACCTTGGATTGGATTCAATTCCCAAAAGTTTAAAGAAAACATTGTATAAATAAAGAGGATAATATCACATGTATTCCATATATTATTCTATTAAAAATAAAAAAAAAAATAGAAAATTCTAAGCGATAATTAAATAAATACACCAGAATTAATTTTTATTATAGGAGTTAATTTCTAATTATATTTTTTATGGGAGTCATTAATTATTAAAGGAAACTTATTTGATTTACACGACATTGTTTTCCTACGAAAAATATTTATTTTGCATTTGTTGAAAAATTATCTAAACTTTATTGAAAAAGATTAGTATGTAAATAATTACCTTTTATTTCTGCAGATTTACAGCTCTTTCTGAGGTAATAAACTGTCGGTCACCTTACTTTCAAAAAAATATTCGATATCAAGATAATTACTAAGTCAAATATTTCTGATCAAATATTTAATATTAATTTAATCAAAAATTTTTTACTATTACTATCCATTGATATCTAGTGCTGTTGATAGATTAAGAAAATTTTTTTGTAAAAGAGGAGGAGGAAATAAAAAGATTATTGTAAACGTATAGAACAAGCGCAACTATTTACTAAAGTGATGAGCATTTTAAAGTTATTTAAGAGTCATATAACTCTGCTTCAGTGTTGCTTCGTTGTTCTCATAATTTCATTCTGTTTAATAAAATAAATTAATAAAATATAAATATAGATATCTTTCATATTCTCTAATCGTTATTTTCTTAAATTGTCAAGTGGTCATTAGTGTCATTAATTGAAATATGAAGTCTAAAAATATTAATTAAGTGAAGTTAACGAGTTTTCCCTACAATACTTGGTTATGGAAATTTTGGAAATATTTGACCCTTTGAAAACTAGATACAAACGACATTAAATTTTTGTTTTTTTTTTAAAAAAAAAAACCGATAAAACCTCACTCTAAAATTCTTTATTATTTGTTAAATAGTTATTACGAAACGAAAATTTGATTATCATAATTAATTTCGAAATTAACTAACAAATATTATTTAAAATTTTGTCCATATAAAATGCCCACTTTTTTTATTATTAAATTTTGCATAATTTTAAAACTTTTGTTTTATTAAGGTATCCTTTTCAATTTGTCTTTGCACTCATTTCTGAGATGGATAAAATTTTATCATCATGAATCTCGAGGTCCTTCAAACTTGGTCATCTAAGACTTGAAATAAATACTACTAATAGAACTCTTGGGAAATTTTTATCTAAATATTATGGTTCAAAATAAATCACAATACTATTACTAAGTATTTTTTTAAATTTCGTAAAATAAATCTATCGTGTGGTTATTTTTTTTTATTTATTTGTATAAAGATTTTAGTTTGTACGAAAATATAGTTATTATCATTGATTTTATAATTATTTGTTATAATTGCATTCTGATTTCAATATTTACATATTCTTATTTAAAAATTCTTTTTAATTTTAAAAACCATACAGATAATTATTTAATTAATTATTTCATCATAATCATTACATATGTATTACTTAAATATTACTTATCAAATGAATTACTTAAACTACATCATCATTACCATTACCATTAGAACTTGAGTTTAAACTTTACATTTAAAGAAAGAAATATAAATGCCCAACTTCAATTTTCAATATCTTATTATTCACCTTTCTCTAGATGACAAAAATAAATAAAAAAAAAAGAAGAAAAAAGTTTAAACAAAAGCATATATAAAAAATAACATGAAGCCACTAATATCAATAATTTTATATTTTATTTTCAAGTTAAATAGATCATTTCACTTATTATTTATATATAGGGCATGAAGTACAAATATGTGGGATAGACTTACCTGCCTCAAAAGTTTGCAGAATGGTTTGATAATAGTTTAAATATATTTTTAGATCTGTAGTAATAGAATTGATATAATTATAGACATCTATATAGTATACATTATTGAGTGGAAAATAAAATGCATTAGTTATAAATATTGAAGTTTAATAAACCTCATTCAGCAGTAATCTTTTTTAAAAAAATTAAATAATAAAATTAAATGATACAAAAAAATTATATAGATTATTAGATACTATTAGAGTATTAAATCAGAAAATCATATTTAATAAGACATTTTCCATATTGCTCATTTCCAAGCTAATAATCTGTTACAGTGCTCCAGCATCTGGAGTCCAGCTCTCTCTCTGTCAGAAGATGTAATTATTTAAACATAAAAATTAAATATATATATATATATGAATTATTTACACTAAATATTTAATTAATGTGAATTATTTTCACACATATCAATCTAAAATTCTATAGCATCTTGAATGTTTATAAATATCCAAACTTCCTTTATAATTGAGGATATTTACAAAAGTTTTTTGGAATGTTGAAGTATTTGGAAATTTCAAAATTTTGAGATTCCAAGATTTCAAAATTCCAAAATATCAAGATTCTACGATCATAAATATAGTTGAAATTATAAATTTAATAGAACTAAAATAAAAAAAAAGTTTCCATTATTTACATTAAATAAAGTTCTCTCAACTTGCCCAAAAAATATAGTTAAATGTAAATATTAATGAATTTTCATTTAATTCATAATTATTTATTTTGAAAAAAAATTGATGCAAGCTAAAGTATTTAATGATCTATGAAATCAAAACTTACAATTTAAAACTGATGAAAAAAAGTGTATATTTTAATCATCAAATTGCAGGAAAAAATATAGCTTTAAATCAATCTTAAATATTATTGTAGAGAATATTATATTAATAAATGAATTGAAAAACATGACACATATTATTTAGATTAAGTAGTTGCCTCAGCTCCCAAATTATTTTACTTATCATATGAAATTGCATGACCTGGGGTGACAGAACTGACTGTTTTATTTGATTCAAATTCTTTACAATATCATCAAGTCATGATTATACTCGAGAGCTCAGGCTTTATTCAAATCCAACATAGTATATTCTGCTTATTCCTGAAGATATGGGAAAATTTTGTCTCCAATACATATCAGATATTTTGAATATAAAATATTAAAAAATTGGAAAGAATTAATATGAAGTTTTTTCAAGGTATATTTTAAAATCATAAAAAAAGGTAAATTATTTTGATTCAGCTATTCTTTATTGCCAAAAGATACTTTAAAGAATGGGCAAAAGCTTGGCACAGACTTTCTAATAATAGAAAAATAAAGTCCATAATTAAAAAAAAAATTGAAAAAATAGTTTAACATTACAAGAATAATTTGTAAATACTGTAAGTTAGAAACAATTTATGAAATAGAATTCATAGTGATTGCATATTTACTTCTCAATAAAAACAAATGGCACATATATTACTTGCTTACTAGTAAACCCTTAATTAGTATTTCTTCCATAACACATGAAGGAAGATTTGGAGAAAACTGAGTCTATGCATTTAATGTAATTGAAATTTGGCTTATATGCAATTTGCAAATTGTCAACTTTAGTCATAATTTTATTGAAATTAATCAAGATAATACTTGATTAAGTTACAAATGACAATTATGTTAGAACAAAAATTACAAATAATGATAGAAAAAAAATAAATTTTAAGTTTTGATTTACAGTAACATTTAACAGAATGGTTGTTTACATTCCAAAAGATAATATAATCAATCACAATCATATATCATATATTATACAAGATAGTCCAGACAGGAATTCTATGTTCAGAAAATATATAAAAAAATCAGCAGTAAAAAGTATAAACATATTTTATTAATATTATATACCTTAATCATATTATCAATATTATAAACATTAGAATTCATTACAAACTTTATAGCATATTTCATGACATGAATGAAATCATTTTCAGAATCTTGATTTTTGATTTTTATTATTTTAGAAGAAAATTTCAGTTAATTGAGAAGTTTTGAATAATTGTTTGTGCAAATTTTTCACTCAATATTAAAATATTTAATATTTTGAGATTCAAAAAATGAATATCATAATACAACAATAGATATGCAATGGAATTAATAGAACCTGTTAATCATTTATTTATTTGTACACTCTTTATATTTATTAATTTATTATTTTTATTATTTAATAACAATATTTGAAATTTCAATGATTTTCCAAAATAGTAATTATAAATATTAGTATTAAATTGGAGTGGAAAATAATCAGGAGATAAATATTAATTTAAAAATAATTATGTTTAGATGATAGCATTAGTTCATGGAACATTATGCTTAGGTAAAGACGATGCTGTGGAATCACCAATAAATGTATTTTCAAATGCTCTTCCTTCCCCCGAAATTACAAAACTTGAGCTTTATTTGAAACGAGATTAGTAAAATGCAAAATCGATGTTCCTTTTTTTTCTTTAAACCTATGTATATATTTTGGTTTTTTTAATAAAAATTTTCTTTATTGGTGATATTAAAAATGTGAGGTTTGCTAGATAAAGTCTCTTGTCATTTGACTATATAAATGTTTGCATTGCATCGATGATATAAAATTTCTCTCAATCAGCAACAGAAATTTTTAATTGGATATTTATGATTTATATTTTTCTACGGTACCAATTTTTTTTTTATTATTTTATAATTAATTTTTTTATCGCATGTTTATTTATTTTATCACTGCAAAATTTTTTTTTAAATTAGTATTTAATCACTTAAAATAAATGAATGTACCATATATTATTATGATACTTTTTTGAATATATTTAAATTACTAAATAAATTAATAATAATTTTAATTCTATTATATACAGTAAGTAAAAAATTTTCAAAACGTTGACCATACTTATTTTGACAATTTCTGGGTTCATTACAAATTGCAAATTGGATATTTCTTACCATTTTTTATTGTGGTCGAAGTCATTATGAAAATATAAAAAAATGTTTAATATTTAATCATCTATACTTTAGGAATTTTTTATAGAGGTGTTCTAATATACTATAAGTATGGAATGTTTCAAATAATGTACTAAAACATTGTGTTCTAGTATGTAATAAGTACAATCTGTTCAAATAACACACTAGAACATTGTGTTCTAACATGCTATAAGCACAAAATGTTAAAATAATGCACTAAAACACTGTATTTTAGTATATTATAAGTACAAAATTTTCAAATAATTTACTAGAACATTGTGTTCTAGTATGTTAGTACCATTTAAGAATGTTATATGAACAGTGTTCATATAGTGCTGTAGAACATTTTTATTTAATTCCTGATGTAGACAGTTATGGCAAATATATTAGATTAAACAAGGGTGTAAAGAGATACATCACAGTTGCAATTCTTAAACTTAGAATATTATATCCTAATTCATACTTCCATTTACATTGGTACTAACCACATTGTCATACTTGAATTTAGAAAAAAAAATTTCAAAATTAACACTAATTATTATCTACTCGAAATGTCAATTGAGAACTTTATAACAAGAGATAATTTAATTTTCAAAAGTTTCTACAATAATTATTTCATTGTTGATGAATTAAAGACTATAACAATTCATTCACATCTTAGACTGCTGTACCATTCTTCAAAAAAAAATAATATCAAATTAATACAATGATACAAGCTTATGGATTATCACAGATATTTTATACAATGACCATGGTAGATAATAAATGGCCACACTTATATGAAATATTACTATCAACTGATAATCATAACCTACTACCAACCAATCAACCATTACATATTTATATATTCTATCATAATTTTTTAAATAATATTTGTAACAAATTATGATAAATCCTGATCTAGCTGGGTGGAAAAAATGGGAACACTTCTTTGAATGAGATGAATTTAAAAACAGAGGAACAATTCATATACTAGATTTGTCTATATTGAAAAAAAGACTCAAGAATTAATTTTTCTAAATATGATTCAAGCTGATGTTCTTGATCCCCTTATAGAACCTGACCTGTATCACTTAGTTACCACATTTCAAATATACCACTGTGATTGTAGATGTAGAACATATAGTTCTACAGATGAATGATAATTTAAAGGTTTTTCTTAACCACTATTAGAAAAAACATATTGCTCCTCAAACAATCTATGTTATATCTATCATTATACTAAACAAGAAGACCAGATGATTATTCCGTATCATTCTAAAACACTGTTAATCTGAAGAAAACATAAATTTTCAATATATTACATCTTATGGATTTGTTAAATTTATAACAAAATATGTAACTAAACCTGACCCTCTGAACATTTTGATATTGTGAGAATAATAACTACAGGAGACATATTAAAGGATATTGTAACAAAAGAATTATTAATTAATAATGCCTAATCTTCGAGCTATAATGAGATGAACCATCTTGTACTTTATTTTACCTCTGTTTACCTTCTAAACTCTGATATAAATCTGTTAAACCAATTCATTTACTAACCAAAATAAATGATAATAAAGATGAAGAACTTTCCTATTGAGATGATAACCATCCAGATCCAATCTTCCACTCAATTAAATGGTCTAATTATTTTTGTGACTATACTATTCTATTTAAACAATCAAGTCAAAATTCAAAATTATTTTATTGTTAAGACTGCAAGAATAAAATGATTTTACAATAAAAAATATCAATATTATGGAGATTCACTACTTACAAAGTAGAAGATAGAGAACCTTTCTTTTTTCAACATCTCATGAAAATTCTGTAAGATCTGAACAAGAACTACTTGGAGAATTTGAAACATACAAAGACAAATTCCAAGCAATTTTCTCTACAAGATATAATCAAATAACTGAATCACTTCACAGAAGCTATCAAAAGTGCAAATATATTCTTTAGATGTTCTAGATACTCTTCATAAGTTTTTGAATATATGATAATATTATCAATATATACTAATATAAATTTCTAAGTAACCTCATGGAAGACTTTATCCATTACTTGCTAAAAGGTTGCTGGGACATTGATAAGTTCAAAAGGTATCACAAGAAACTTATAGGTATCAAATCGAATAGTGAAAACAGTTTTCTTCTGGTCTTTAACAGATACTTCTACTTGTTAGAAACTTGAAGCAAAGTCTAAAGTTGAAAAGAAAGTGGAGTGTCCCAGAGTATTTAGCATGTCTGCTATTTGTAATACTGAATAGACGTCAGGTTTCATAACTGCTTTCAATTTTCTGTAATCTATACAAAACCTGAATTTTTCATTTTTCTTATTCACTATTACTATAGGTGCAAACTAAGGACTAAATGACTTTTGAATTAATCTGTTCTTTAATATATTTGCTATTTCCTCTTTCAAAAATTTCTAGTATTGGGATAAAGTTTTATAGAAATTTAATTTGATTGCTTTGCTTTGCCAGTATCCATTGTATGCTGATAATGGTTTGTCTTCTGGCTACCAGGTTCAAAATTTCTTAAATAATTTTATGAACTTGTAACTTATATTGATTTCCTTTGAGCTTCTCTACACTCATATCAAATTACAATGAATGTCTTATATTTTATTTCATGGTATAATGGAAATAATCTTTGTTTTTATTGATATTCTTCACAGACTTCACATAAATCCTGACTCATTTTTAAATATTTGCTGCATCAGCAATAGGAGTTGGGTCTTGTTACCTTGCATTATTCTTGAGCACTTTTCTTTTTTTTAACTAGATCAAAACAATAAGATAACTGATCATACAATTCCCATATAACAAGCTTTGAATTCTTGTACATTTTTTTGGGAGTGAACTTATATTTCATATAGAATTCCTGATGTAGAAGTTTATAAGTTAATCCTGCAAAGTTCACTTTTTCTTGATCAGTATTCAAATCATCACTACTGTCTACATATTCTTTTTTGCTATTATAATCTTCTTTATCATTGTCCAAAACAGTAGCTCTAGTATTTCTATAGGAGATTTGTGCTGTTAATTAATTATTACTTAGTATAATGGAATATACTGAAATATTTTAATTATTATTAGATTGAAAAGTAAACTTACTTCAGGGACAGTAAAATAGACATCCTAACACATGATAATATTTCTGTCACTGAATTATACTTTATTTTTAAAAACTTTATATTTATATTTTAATAAACTTATATCTTGTACCATAATATTGTGAAATATTATTAAATATTGTCTGATACTGTGTTAACTACTTTTACTTACTTTACTCACTGTACCTTCATGATTAATTGATTAATTATTTGATTATTATTATTATTTATTGTATATTTATTATCTGTTTTGAGATAGGCCAGTTAAATCGATTGTATTAGCTACAACCTACTGGCAAATAGAGTGCATTATTATGTTTGTGTGATGTAAACTTTGAGACTAATTTAAGAAATTGTTTGAAATACTCTGCACAGTGGTGACAATAGCATAGAAGACATCTCCACAAACTCGAAAGGCTTATAATACACTTTTTTGATACAAATCTCAATTTATCTGATATAATTGGTAAAGAAAGAATAATAAAACCATTATTGCCTATTTTTGAGAAACAATTAAAAAATAATAATCTTCATCAAGAAGATAATCTTTCAACTGAAGGTGAAGTTAAAAATAAAGAAAATTATTCTTTCATAATTGATGATGAATAAATTATAAAATAATAATTATATTTTTATAATTTTTATAATTTTTATAATTTTTATAATTTTTATAATTTTTTATAATTTTGTATATAAATATTCTATAAAAGTAATATGAATATATTTGAAATTATTAAAGTATTATTAAAAATGTATGCATAAATTTTTGATACATATGACTTTGTTTTGGTAATAAAGAATAAAATTAAAAATTAATATAGGAAACAAGATAATATTAATATAGAAAACAAAGATAAAATTTATATAGAGAACAAAGATAAAATTATTTATAAATATAATGATAGTTACAACTGTTTGAAGTAATTGTTAATTTATTAATCAAATTAATCAAAATGACTTGAATTTGTAATTGCTGTCAATGTACTTTTACAACTAAAACTTTACATATCAATCATGTGAAATTATGTCTTCAAAGTGTGACAGAATTATCAGAAGAATTAAGTTTGGATGTAGTTTGGAAAGTAAAAAATTAAATAATGAGGTATAAAAAGATAAATAAATAATAAATAAAATAATTTCAAACATAGTTTATACTAACTTTAATGTTATAGAATAATTTCAAAAGTATTTGGGAAAGTGAAAATGAAGGTAAATATGAAGACAAATATGACTTATATAATATTGAAACTGAAGACATATCTTTAACTAGTGATACTGTCACGTTCTGTGCAGAACAAGGTGAAAGTTACACCAATCAGTCTCAAATTTATCACGTAATAATTTAATATATATATCACTAATACGCTTTT